ATTTATTTGCGTTTTGGTCTATTTGATGTAAAAATCTTTAAACTTACAGAGATATTTTCTTTAATACTTTAATTTTTATTTAAAGCATATTCAATCGACAAAAAGGTAAAAAGGAGAAAAAATGAAAAATGTATGTTTTAATTTGTCAAAGAAATTGAGATTTTACCACAAACGTAACTATGATTTTCAAATCATTATATCTTATAACTCAAAGTCGTAGACTTTAGATATTTAAAACTATGAATTAATGTGACTTGTGAGGATCAAAATAATTAAGTTTGAAACATGAAAGATTTACAATATTAGGTTGCAAAGATTAGAAAATTTAATTTTGTGTCAAAGGCTCAATTTTTTTTTTAATTGAAAGGGACAGCTTACCCAATAAACACAACTCAGATGTAAAACGTTTGAGATTAATGTTCAGTAGTTTAAAAATATCCGTTTTTTTACACCATTAAAGTAAGATTTTATCCGAATTCAATGAATTTGAGCCTCGTCTCAAATCAGCCCAAAAAACGGTTTCAATTGAACGCCGGCTTAAATCTTAAACATTGAATACAATTTTAAGTGGAACCAACCATATTTGAGCTGTGTCTCAAATTTTTTTAATGCAGCCTAAGTTTATTTAAATGGTTTTTTTAAATCGGTTAAAAACAGCTTTGGATTATATGAGTTTTTAACACTTAGTAATAGACGGATGTTATTTTTGAATAAATTTGTTAAATCTTTCAATTCAGGGCTGGTGGGGGGGCTTGGGTATAGATCACTAATAAGGCTGAAAGAGTGTCCCGCGACAAATTTGAACCCGATACTCTTACAGCATAATTGCTTTAGTGATCATGTATATATATTGAATATCTTAGGAGGAGGCTCGGAAGGGAGGGGGAGAGGATGGGATGGGGTGGAGCGAGCAGGGGCGTACATAGAAACCTGTGCACGGTGGAATTAACCTTTTTTACTTTTACGGGAGGGTCAGACCCAGTTAAGGGCTGAATACTCATCTAGGATAGTTGTAGTTTGAAATATCACAGGTTTACACCATCAAATTGCAAAGCTAGAGGGATCAGAAAATTTGAATTTGTGGCTAAAACTCAATTCCTTTGTTAAAGTAAGGACCCACACTAAAGGGAATAGAAACATCAAAGGGGATATTTAAAATATTCAGACAGGAATACCATTAAAAAAATTAGAAAGTAAAAAAATAAGTTAAGCATTTTTAATATTTAGATATTTTAAAGTCTACATAAATAAAGAACTCCCCCAATGAGTCTCTGAGAACCGTCATTCGTTTTGTTCAAAGAAGCTCTCCATTAAACTGTGAACTACATATTTCCATGTGCACAAATATAGAAGTAATGCATGTGATTATTGTGTACAACTTATACAAATTAAACAAGTACCGAGAGAGGGGTGGGAGCCGGAGGTGTATAACCTGTAAGTATCTGTGTAAATGGTCAATCTGTACACAGTGCTTAATGTTAATCTGTGTTGTGTTCTTATCAGTACTCTGTTACACAATTGTACTTAACCCTATTCCTGCCGGGGGGGGGGGGGTCAATTTGACACCCCCCTGCAGTTTTTCTTACATAACTCAAAAAGTATTGGTCTGAGGCTGTTGAAATTTTCTGACTTTTCTTACATACCCATAGCCCTCCCTTTAGGCCTAAAACAGGGCTTTAATACTAACTGCCTGAGTCCTCAGGCACACTGCCTGAATGACTGCTTTTTCCTGTAACAAACTAAATCTTTGTTTTGACCCACTTTCACTTGTCAGATTTTGATAAAATTTAGCTTTTTGGAAAGCCTATGACATAAGGAAACGTTTTGCGAAAAAAAATTGCAAATTTTTTGCAAACAACCTGTCAAAGGAAATTTGCACATTTTTAGTTTTTCTTGATTAAAAATATCCGGTTATTTAAAATTTTGCAAAATTTTTTGCATATTTGAAATGGCATGGTCAAGGGCTTTTCAAAAATGTATAATTTTTCATTTTTTTGACAAATTTTTTTTGCACACATTTTTACTATATAACTGGATTTTGCGATAAAAATTCAATTTTTGCAAATTTGCAATTTTTTTTGTAGACTCTAAAAGAAGAGCACAAGAGCTTTCTAATGATGTATCATTTGTCATATTTGGACATCAAACATGGGATTTAAAGGGAGGGGGGGGTCAAATCCCCCCCCCCCCCCAGCGTATCCTGGTTTTCAAGTACCCCAGCAGAGATAGGGTTAATAAATGAATACATGTACTTCAATCTTTATTCTAAAATTGAAATGTTGTAATATTTAATTGTTAAAGTAAACAGCACTGAAATACAATTTTTGTGTTAAACTGTGTTGTGTGTTTATCTGTGTTGTGTGTTTATCTGTGTTTACTGTTAATCAATGTTCAGTGTTTATTTGTATTTAGTTTCTATTTTTATTTAATGTAAATCTGTGTCAACTGTTTATCTTTGTCAACTGTTTATCTGTTTCAACTGTTTATCTGTTTCAACTGTTTATCTGTTTCAACTGTTTATCTATGTCAACTGTTTATTTGTTTCAACTGTTTATCTATGTCAACTTTTTATCTATGTCAACTGTTTATCTGTTTCAACTGTTTATCTGTTTCAACTGTTTATCTGTTTCAACTGTTTATCTATGTCAACTGTTTATCTGTTTCAACTGTTTATCTATGTCAACTGTTTATCTATTTCAATTGTTTATCTATGTAAACTGTTTATCTGTTTCAACTGTTTATCTATGTCAACTGTTTATATATGTCAACTGATTATCTATGTCAACTGTTTATATATGTCAACTGTTTATCTATGTCAACTGATTATATGTATTTAGTATTTATTTGTATTTAGTTTCTTAATGAAGAATTATTAAAAAAATTATTTAGTCCAAATGTCATCGATCTTTTGAAGATATTTAAAAGGTTGAATTCAAGGACATCTTTTGTTACGTTTTTTTCAACGGATTGCTGCATCCAGGTAAACCTATAATATGGCACACAAAAATCAAGTCGATTTGCCGTTTTCACCGATTTACCAAGCTCTATGTTGAGACAAAATGTTTTTGGTGACTGATTTTTCATTTTTCAACCGTCGATCGTTCATCGGCCCAACTAGGGTTGATTTAACAGTTTTCATAGTTTGAAATATAAAATTGGAATGCAAAGATAAAAAGATTAAAAAATCAGAGTTTGTGGCCAGTGCAAAGTTCCATTCTGATTTTACCTTTATTAAAGGGACTGTAAATAACCCACTTTGAAAAGATGTCAGTGTCCTATTCATAACCGTACCCTTGAAGCTTTGTCTGATTAACTATGATCTAATTAGATATCAATATGAATAATTTCGAAAATCGATTATTCATAATTGTGGGTTATCTATGAACATGACTTGTGTATTTCTACGGTAGGAAAAAAAATATAAATGTGCAGAATTATACATATTTGAACCCAAGGTTATAATGCAAGGAAAGTTATTTTGGAGGTGTATGCATCTTTTGTACTGCAGTGTAACAGCTCTGGGTGGTAATGTAAACACAAGACGGATGTCGAAGCTTAACATGGAATCGATCTTTCACATGAAAAATCAATGAAATATTCTGGTCATAGAAAACTATTATGTGAATTATCAAAATTATCAAAAATTAATGCTTTTAACCTCCTCGGAACTAAACGAACACTGATGCATCTATTCTTGTTTACAAATTCCGCCCAAAGAGAACTAGTTTCGATATGTACGCAAAGTGTACGCAACTACAATTGACTTTCTTTGCATTATAACCTTGTTTGAACCTAATAAAACAAATAAATGTATTTCACATTATTGATCAGATTTCATGGGTAATGTTGCAATTTTTACATGCCGAGGATCACTTGAAATTAGGCTTACAATCCCTTTAAGATGAAATTTAGTCAGAAGAGAGAGTAGGGGTGGGCATATATTATACTTTATTTTAATATCAATATTAAATACCAATGTGTAAATATTTTTAAAGTTACACTTCTACTTATTTAGCAAAATCTAACTTTTAGCGGGAAAAAAATATTGCTGTATCTTTGCCATTTTAAATTCATTAGCCTTTAAAATTTTCACATTTGCTTAGGGGTGGGAGGGGGGAGGGGCCGTCAGGACATTTGGAGGAAAATGTACGCAAGATTCTGACGTGTGTATTTAGCTTAGTCAACTACACTGATCATTGTTCTTAGTTGCAGTACGTGGAAAAGGGATATGAAAATAAACCAACATTTCGTGGTTTTATTTCTGGTCTAAATTTGGGTTATAAAAAGAATTGTAACTTTTTCTTCACCTTAATTGTACATGATAAAATGGTAAATGAAGACAACTTCTCATAATTATACAGTGCTCCCCAAAATAAAATGGTAAGTATTGACTACTTTTCAAAATATACACTACAGTGCTTCCCAAAATAAAATAATAATAATTGAAAACTTCTCAAAAATATACAGTGCTCCCCAAAATAAAATAATAAGCGTTGAAAACTTCTCTTAAATATACAGTGCTC